AAAAAATTGAGTCAAATCAAGTATTTCAATAATGTTTATAAAGTAAAAATTTTCTTACTCCATTGGCAGACATTTTTGACTTGAGTCAACTTTTCAGGCTAACAAGACAAATAATCATACACATTCTGAAAACAAGATTATTATTCTTACACAATCAGTTCTTGTTTAGTAAATCAGTCTAAAAACAAGATCAAAAAGACTTTGGCTGGATATAAGATTTTAAAACTTGGTTAGGCKGACATATTTTGCCGTGTATACACTTAGAACCACTAGATGGGGTTCTGAAAAATGCGAGGTTGAACCAAAAATGGAGACAAATTTGGTCAAGGCTGAACGAGCAGAACCGCATACTAGTAGGCTATGCGAGTGGAGAAGGGGTTTAAGCGACAATCTTGCAAACACAGAGACAATGGCTTGAAGTGGGGGGGTGAACAGTGCGCTGACTCAGCAAATACCAGTTTGATTGAAGGACAAAGAAGCTGCTGAGACATTGTCAGAAGAACTCTGGGAAATGGGCCTGGGCTGATCACATTCCTGGATGAGAGAAAATATAATCAAGTTGTGGCACTAAATATTTCCAAACAAGTTAAAACCCAAGACTATACTTCTCTGACTGAAAAAATGGCAGCTTTAGTTAATCTCTCTCGTTTGACTTGGTCAGCATCCAGATACTGCACTGCATTCCTGAGGAAGGGTTTCAGATCCATCCCATCATACTGATGACCTCTGATGTAGGTGAAGATGGCATCCAACACTCGGGGTAGAATCCCAGGCTCTTTGGTTGTTCCTAATGATTAATATCAGATTTTAGCCTCCAGTACTGTTGTTTAAAGCTCAGTTTGTGTTATTTACCTTGAATTGTGAAGGTCTTCCCGGCGTTTGTTACACCATAGCTGAATATCAGCATGTTCTGTCCATCCAAGAAATTAGACACATGGCTTTTTACRGTTTCCTCGAACAGCTCTGCCTGTGTGGTCTGAGGTCCAAAAACCTGAGGCGGGACCGTGGGATGAGTCTTATTAGAGACTCTGAAGCGGCTCATTTAAAATAAAATAAAAAAACGCCACACACACACACACCAACCCATCCTCACTCCCAAGTCATCACATATTGACGCATTTCCAAGGTTCCCTCTGCGTCCAGTTTTGACACGTCGGCTACCCCCCAGCATCAGTTATTGACGAGTTGGGGCGGAATCCATAGTCATAATTTCAGAAAGTGTAGAAAATGCACATAAACTAACTGTCCCAAAGCCTAAAATGACCTTTATTTACTTTATACATTCTGTCCCTGACCCTAGTACCTAAAATTAACCATCAACCCTGATCCCTAAAATTAACCATTTTTAGAAAGTGTAGGAAATTCAGGTCAACTACGTGTTCCAAAGCCTAAAATTACCTAACATCCTATCCCTGACCCCACTACCTAAAATTAACCTTGAAATCTGACCCCTAATATTAACCACAGACCCCAACTCAAAGACCCCTATATTTTATGTCCTAACGCATCAAACCTGGACGCCAAGGAACACGGAAATGCCTGGTGCGTCAATAACTGACGCGACGGGTGTACCAGATGCGTCAAAATAAGACACAGGGAACCTTGGAAAAGCGTCAATGTGACGAGTCAGGAGTGAGAATGTGTCTCTCTCTCACACACACACACACCTCTAACCTTTGAGAAGGAGAACCTGTGGAGCGACATGCCGACCCCTCTCTCACTGCTTTTCATGTTGGCTGAGCCTTTAGGTGCGGTCAGAGTCACCGTCTGGCTGTCATCAATTATGACACAATCCTGAAGAGAAGTTTTAGTTTAAATTCAAACCCAAGAAACTCTGAAATAAGACGGTTCCTTCAGCTCAGATTTCAAGAAACATTCATATTGGTCTATCCTTTCCAAAAAAATGGCAAGTTTCCAACCTCCAAAAATGTCAGTTTGTATATTAAAATAGTTATGCCTTTTTTGTGACAATCCCTCCGCTATAAGATCCCCTTAGATTCCCTCATCAAACCCTGATTATGACCATTGTGGGCAGTAGTGTTGTTGTCAAGACCACCGAACCCGAGACCAAGTCAAGACCAAGACCAGTGTCTCAAGATCGAGACAAGACCAAGACTTTTAGGGTTTGGACCAAGTCGAGACCAAGGCCAGATTTTAAAAAAAGTGTCCTAAAAGATGCAGTATTCTGTACAAAAAGAAAAAAAATTGTCTAAGTCTTCTGGACGGGTTCTTCTCTAATGAAACGTTTCGTCAGACGAAACGTTTCATTAGAGAAGAACCCGTCCAGAAGACT